AACCAGATCACAGCAAGGTTTGCTGTACATTCAAAAATGCCTGGCAGCTAGAGGTTCCCTTTCTTTCTGCTGGTTCTGATTTTTTGGGGGGAGGGGGAGCTGACTAGATCCAGGAGAGGAACCAGACATTGCTCGCAAGTCTGCAAAATGGTGGCAGGCTGAAGAAAGGAAAAGGTGGTGCAGAACAAGGGAGGAAGGGAAGGAACAAAAGAGAAAGGGAGAGAGGAGTGGAGCCTCCTGCTCCCTTCTAGGCAATAAAGAAACCTAAGCCCCTTGTCTCAGCAGGCTGGTTTGGGGTAGGGTTCAAAGCATCTCAGTCAAACCAGGGGCTCTGAAGGGGCTCTTAATCCGAGCAGGGATTTGCACCTCCTGGCACTATGCAACTCATTGCTCATTTCAATTCAGACACCTCCCAGGGGGAGCAAGGCTTGCCCTTTCTGGCAGGGTAAACAGGGATAGCTGGGGACTTAGACTTGCAAGTTTTATATATACTTAGTGAAACATGGCAGGCATTGAAACTTCCAGGCAGAGAAACTAGCAACATTTCCATGCCTTATTACCCGTTCCCTCGTGGAGGGAGGGGGCTTTGTGCTTCCAGCTAGCCCCAGGAGGATTTCAGGTTGTGAAATAGCTTTCAAGGGGATTTCATGTTAAATGTCACCCAGGAGGTGGCATGACTTGCTGTGCTGAGTCACTCATCAGGCATTTTATGGCCCTAGTACAAAGCCAACCTTGGTTTCATCCAGCAGCTCATCCTGGGAGGCATTTCAGCTATGCATCATCCAGAGTCTGATAGACTCACCAGCCAGGATTTACACCGGTTCACTGGTGCTTGGGCTGGTGTTACGTGGACAAGGGAGTCTCAGTACTGCTTTCTGCCCTAGTCTGGGGATGCTTGAACAGAAAGGCTGAGATCTCAACAGCTGTGGCAGGAATCATGGGTAGCTACATGGCCTGAATCCCTACGGCAGGCTTGAATCACAGATTTGCTCTAAATCTAACTGTTTCCAAAGTTTAGTTTCATGACGGAGACAAGCCAGAACCACAAGGCAATCAGTTTCCCATAAAGTTCCGCTAACAATCAGCAGGATGGAAGAGGTTCTGAGGCAACATCCCGTTTCCAGCCTTATGCTGGAAAAACCAGGCCCAGAGATTGAGGGTTAAATAGCTCGGCTGGTGCTAGCTGATGTGGTTCACTGACTTTCATCATCATTTTATTGACTTCCACTGAAACTGCCTCAGCATAGGCTCCCTGTTTCCTTCTTGCGCAGTTATAAGCCACATTCAAAAGTTTGGCTATGTGGAAGGGAACAGCAGGCTGCTCAGCTGGGCAGACGTATTTGCCTCTGCGCCGCTGGGGGAGAGCTCCAATAAGTCATCCTGGTCTTCAAATACCATGAGGTCAGCTGCTCTCTTGGGATTTCTGTGCGTTCAGTCCTAGCTGAAACTGGGGAGTGAGGAAGTTGCCGCAAAAATGGAAAGCATGTGAAAAGAATTAGAGCTAGTGGAAAATTTTCCAACACATCATATTTTTCTGTTGGAAAGCGCCATTTAGTCCAAGCCAAAACTATCCACTGGAACGTGCTGATTTTGACAAAAATTAATAAAAAAATAAAAAGCCTTTTGATAAGGTCAAAATGTTTTGTGCTAACCTTGGAACAGAATGTTTCCTTTTTTGTGGAGGTTTTTTTTTTCCATTTTAAAACAAAGGGTTTTTTTTCATTTTAAAACTTACTTTTTCACTTTACAACAACTTTTTATTTTGGACTCTCTTTTCTCTTAAATGTTGCATTTTAAAATACTGACCAGTGCTGCATCCAGAATGAAATGCTTTGGTTGTAACGCAATGGAACACTTTAGATTACGCCAAACCAATGTTTTGAAATTTCATTTCTGTGAAAATTTTCAAATGCTAGTTTGTGTCAAAGCAGAAGGAAGGCTCATTTTGAAACACCCAGTGTCCCCACTGCAAGCTCATTCTGCATTTTACCATCTCTCCAGCTGACCTTTTTGATAGTTCTCACATCCAGAGAGAAAGCATCTCCTGTCTGCCTGTGAATCTGCCCACCTTCGTTTTCCACAATCCCCTCTGAGCAGTATCTAGCTCCATCTGGACTCATTTTGTAAAAGTGCCATCCCTCCCGTCCCCAAGTTAGGAGTTATGTGAGGCCTGAGATCAATGCGAACAGCCTTCTGATGTTAGCCAGGACACGGGCAGGGGAGGCTCTGGCTCTGCGCGGTGCCCCTGCTCCAGCGCCTGTCCCTCTAGATGCACCCTGTCTTCTCCTCACTGCCAACAGACAGATTTGCTCCCACCCTCCACCTGCGTGATGTGCCCACCTCCTCCTCCGTCTGCTGTTTGTGTCTTCCCACTCACTAACAGTGACAGGGGAGACTATTTAGAAGGACTCATGTTCTTTTCAGATAGGGCGGGGATGGGGGGAAGAAGAAAGAGGACACAAACCAGGCTATTACATTTTTTAGCAGGCAATATATGGACACAGTTCCTGCGGAGAATTCTACATTTGTAACGATAAGCTTTACCCAAACTTTACCCCGAAAATGTCAGCCAGCACTCTGGCAGGATGAAAAAAATAGAAAACAGAAAAGGTCCTTCAGTTTGCCAGCAGGACTTTTCTATTTTCCCCTTGGAAAGCAGAAAACAACTGGGCAAGATATCTCAGCACCTGGTTGCACAGTCTAAAGGCTGAGCACTTGGCTATCACATGCAGCATCTGCTCTTAGATATGCGGCTGGGAGCCTCTAGCCAGCCAAGTGTGAGCTTCCTCACAGCAGTGCCCCCAATGTCAGCCAGCATTTCAGCTCAATGACCTTCCTTGCGACAGTGTCCCATTGCTTCACACAACAGCAGGCCCCGTCTACCACTTCCCATCAGGTCTGGAGCAAGACTGGCCACTCCTGAACACCGCAGCACCGCACAGTCAGCGCTCAGCGCGGAAGTAGCCCTGTCCCCTGTCAGGGAAGCACATAAGGTCGGGATGGGTGGTGGCCTTTGAGCCAAAACACTGGAGGCCAGAGCTGGGGGACTCAAGGGATGTCATAGACCTCCTTGACCTACTAGGCCAGGTTCCAGAGCTTCTTTTTGGCTGAGGACCACGGACCCCACTGCACAACCATGGGGGGCACAGGAAGGAGGAGCAGAGCTAGTCCCTAGGAGACAAGAACAGTTTGCCTGGGGTCCTGGTGCTCCACAGACGGAGAGGACAAGCCTGGCCAGGGTTTGCTGTTTGGTCCCAAGATAACCGGCATCAGCTCCCCTTGGTGCTTCACCACGTCCTGCAGCTGGGGTATGGGTTCCCCAGTATCCCCTGCCCCAGAGTTGTCACCCATCGTGGGCTTGGGAGCTGTGCCTGAATTGCTCACAACCTGCACGGCAGCTCAGGTGTCACTCGTTTTCCACCTCTGCTCTAGAGCAGCCACTGCTTGAGCTAACAGCTGTTAAGAACCATTTTTACTTGTTGCTTAGGTATCGACATGATAGATGTATCACAGCTGGATGCCTGAGCACCTAAGCAGATGGATGGATGGATATAAACAGAAAAAGAGAGAAGGGGATAAAAAGTCCCATCTCAAATTTTGTAAAAAAATCACCAGAACAGTAGAAGGGAAAGGCTTCCAGAAATAAGCAGATGGCTATTGGATGAACGTAAATGAAAACAAAGAAACCAGGGAAAAGAGATTAAAGGGAGCTTCTTAATTTCTCTGATCCATAATTCCCCCATCAGGAAAACAGAGTTAGGGTCATCTGGATGCCATGAGCTGTTAGTGACTGTAAGGTACCTAGATACTTTTGTGGGGGGAGCCATGAGGTAGGCAGCGAAAAAGAAAGATAAGTATATAGATAAACGTCATTAACTCCTATTACTGTGTGTGTTAGAGAGTTCAAAGGGTCACTTTTCAGTTAAAGGTATGGGTCTCAGAGGCTGTGTTTGACAGCAGAGACTTGTCTGTAGAAACTCTGAGAGGAAACAAAGTTGGGAGGAAAGAAGAACCCGTGTTAAGGCATGTTCTCGCTTTGTGTGACTACACAAGAGAGCAGAGCAGGGCATATCCTCCTGGCACGGCACAGTGTCAAGCAGCAATAGATTAACTTGCTCATTAAAAATTTTCCAACTGGAAAGTGGTATGGCCATTCTGGTAAAAGACTCCACTTGCACTAAGCAGCCTGGTTGATCTAAGGAAGGTGAGTATCTCTACAAGGCACAGCCTTGTGCCTTCCTTGTCAATATACCCACAAGTTGGAGGGAAAGAAATAATCTTTCATTAAACCCAAAAGCTAAGTTTCTCCCTGGTTCTGGAAAGGCACCTTGGGACTCTCCTGTTTCTGACATCGACACAGCACCAAATCTGTGACAGTCATAGGGAATAGGTCTTTGGACTTGAACCCACCTTCTCGAGCCCATTGCCCACACACAAATCAATAGTGTGGTGGGCAGACCAGTCCACACTGGAATCAGCCATGGAGGAATGCCAAGGTGATGGATCTTGCATCTGAAATCATCCCATGCCTAGCCCCAGCAGAATACACACACAGTGAGAAGGAAGAAACGGAGCACCAGAGGATAAGAATGATGTGCCTCAAAAGGAAACGAAGAGACTTCATTTAGAAGAGTGACACACCTTCATCAAGAAAGATCCCATCAGAAAGAAATAACACCCCTGAAAGCAAAAATAATTTCCCCTTTGCTGGGTTGAAGGCACAATCTTATCCCCAAGGCTATTTTCAACCCTGCGGGCTATACATGTTGAACAAGCCGTAAGGAAAGGACTAGGTTTTTTGGCTGCAGATCTCCTTAAGCAAAGGAATCAGACAGGAAATCAATAGGCAGCCCAAAAGGAAGAGGAAGTTTACAGCCATCAGAAAAGCGAATGTGGCCTTTTCTCTCAGAGCTTCCATATCCCTTAGGAAAGCATAAGAGCTTATACACAAGCCTGCACAGCACCCTTTGGGAGTCTGGACCTCAGGCCTGACAACTCACCGGCATAGTGCGAATCTAAAGTAATTGCATTGTCTGCCCTGGGAATACTTCCGAAACACCTGGGATAACTGAGACTTAGGATCCAAATTCTCCCACTGTAGGATCTAAAAATCCTCTGCTCCTCCACCTCCTCCTCTCTAGCTAGGATTTGTTTTTTCTGTTCTTTTATGCTCTCTTTCTTTCCATTGTTCTCATCACGAAATCGAGACATTTGAATTTGTCTTCCTTCTCTATCTTGTGAAATCCTTGTATTCTCCAAGCCTACCTTGCAACTAAGGAGTTCTCCAGACAGACAGTGAGGCAAGGGTCCCTTGGGCATAAAGACAAGTTATCTGCAGGCAGCTGTTTGGGCTGCAGGGTTAAGCCATTTTAATTACCTAGAAGCACAGCACCAGCCAAAGAATCATCAATGTTTAAAACAAGCCCTGCTGTCCCAGTGGGGCTGGATTGTCTCAAGAAGGCTGCCTGCTGATCTTCTGCTAGATTAAATTCTTCTGTGAGAGCTGATCTACAGCTTTATGGCAATGGGGAGAACTTATTTCCTGAACCCTAGGGTCCATTGTTTGGTTTGGATCAATTCCTGTGATCCCAGAGCAGAGCAACTGCAACCCTCCCCTCTGGATTTCAATACCACCTGCAAAATCCCAAGTACTGTGACTTCAGTAGGGTTTGAAGTTGTCGCCTTACCATTCATATCATTGCAGAGAGGCAGACCCCAGCTCTAGAGTGTTAAGAGATCACAGTTTGCCTTCTAGGCTGGGTCATGCCTAGAAAAGGCCACTGATGGGCTGGAGAGAGTGGATTTAGCATTTAGCACAGTACCCATCCCTAAAACTGGCATACAGCTTGTTAAGAGTGGGTGGTTTTTTCCTTTCCAAAGCTCGACATGCTCCTTGACAAACTGATCAGACAAAAACAACCCAGAACCACATCCTGAACTTTCCAGTGTGTTTTCTAGTTGTTGTTTTTCGAAGTTCGAAGGATTCTGATCACCTTTATGCCTCGTGGCTGCCTCTGCAGTCCCAGTTCAGGTTGGCACCAGCTGTGGAAATGACTGAACAGCTATTCTCATACACACTGGCCTCACGTAACCTGGTGCCGGGCCAACTACTGGCACAGTGGCATGGTTCAGGACTAAATGGGAATGTGGGACTGAGCTTTGCAAGGGGACCCACTCCGTCATGGAGAGTGCAAGTCAAGCTTCCCTGTCGAGAATGATGATGTCGAGAGCTGTTGAAATCTGGATAGCTGCCACGCACCCAGCTCCAGGCAGCCCAGAGGACAGAGCCACAGCAGCCTGCCTCATTCTCTAATCTCCAGTCACTGCCCCATAGAAAAGAGGAGCTGCATGATGGAGCAGACATTTCTGGGAAATGCCTTTTAAATGACTGTTAGATCAAATAAGCAAGGAAGGCTACACTCTTAAACTGTCCCACTGCTGCAGCACAGATCTCCAGACCAGCCCCACAAAACGTTGATCCTATCTCACCCAACTCAGCAGGTTGCTTGCATCTCTGAGCGCCATCTGCCTATCTGGGTCCATCTGTCCCCATCCTACCTAGCCCTACCCAGCTCCCAGTAGTCACCCTTAGCTTCTGGTCCCCTCATATCCGTGCCATCTTCCTCACATGCCCTCAACGTACCCAAGTGAAAGAAACTGGCGTCTAGGTGTGTTTATATGCGGGCAGAGGGAAGGGAAGGAGCAGGTCTTTCTCAAGAGACTAAGATGGGAGTCAGCCCTGGATGACAGCTTTTCGCAGTACAGGGATGGACAGTTCCCTGCTGGCTGTGTCGCCCTGGCCCTGTGAAGTCACATAAGGAGGTGGCAGTGTTTCTCATCGGGAGCTCAAATGCCCTTTAGGTGGCACATTGTTCACAAAGGTGCCCTGTGCCACCTGCCAAAGGCTTGCAGGAGGTGATGGAAAGTAGGCTGCATTGCCCAAATCCCCACTGTGTCCTCTCCTGCCTCCTTCCCAAGCACTGTGCGGAGCAGTTCAACTCCTGACCATGGGAATCCAGTGATTATCTCCACTACGTTCCCTGGGGTAAACCTGCCCCATCCCAGCTGGAAGAGGCTCTGCTGCACAGACCCCACATGGAGTTGCCCTGCTGAAAGGAGCAAGCCTTCTTGGCTCCCTGCTTCCTTCCTTTCTCTCTCCAAGTCTACAGGTACTGGGAAAGTCACTGTTTTGGTCCCACAGGACTCAGGGTCTCCAGCACGTTTCTGCTCCTCTCTCACTGCCATGTGGCAAGCCGCACCCTGACCTCTTCGAGCTCCAACTTGCTTTTCCAACTTTGACTGGTTATGGGCAGAGCATGCTGGGGCCTGCCTCCTCCTCCCCATCCCTTTGAACATGACACGTAGGCAGCGAAGCACGCTGAATGCAGCTGCACACCACAGGATCCAGCCCTCAGATTTTCATGTGGAAAAACCACATATGCATGAGTCACCTGGATTCAGTAGAGACAGGGCCTGCAAATGTTCCTTTTCTCCTTTGGGACAGATTTCATCCCAAAGTGCCATGCCTTCCTCCTCTTTCCCCAATACCTACCACTAGCTCTTGGGAAGGATAGGTTTCTCTCTGCTAGGCTGTGCCATGCTTTAGGAGCGGGATCTCAGACATCAGGGCCTCCTGGGAAGGATAGAGAGCTGCACTTAGGAGCTGGCATCTGAGCCAGAGCTGCCAGTATGTTCACACGGCCAAGTGTCTCTCCCCAGGACAGGTGAGGGGGAGGCTTTTGTGCAGTCTGGTGTCCCTATTGTGAGAAAGGGGAAGGGGCGAAAAGACGGGGGTATCTGGTGCCACAGCACATAGAGCAGGCAGCAAGGCTCCCTGCAGAGCAGCCAACAAGTTGTGGAGGCCTGGCATGCATCAACAGCATGCAAAGGTGCCTGCGTCTGCTCAAGGGTTCTCCATCCTCAGAACAGACTACCTCCCTTTTTCCCCTTTTTGAGACCACCTCTCCTCTTCATCTGCACTATCATCCCATTCAGGCACTCTGACCCTTCCTTCCTCTGGGAATATAGCTGCTCTGCTGGTGACTCTCTAAGGGATGAGGCTGAACTGGGTCTAGGAAGGCTCAGAGGTTTCTGCCCCAGCACAGGAGAGGCTGTCTGAGATGCTAGCACAGAGAAGGGTGGATGAGGAAAAAGCATTTAGAGGAAGAGGAAGTACAGGCTGTATTGTATACACAGACACCGCCTTTCAGGGCTTGGTTGCTCTGACTTCCACAGCCCAGCTAGAAATTTCCCCCAAAGGCCATTTTCTCAGCTGAAGAGGTAACAGAGATCCAACATAAACAACCCACCACGCTTAGCACATGGGTAACTAGCCCGCCCCCACTGCTGCCTCTCTTCCCCCTCAATGGAATTGAAGCTAGTGCGACACAATGTTTAATTAGGTTAATGACTAAGCTTGGATTTTAATTGGGATTCCCTGGTTTACTGGTGTATCTCCTCCTTTTGTTTTACTCCTGGTGAGGGTTTCTAAAAGCTGTCCCTGCTAATGGCTCTGATATCAGAAAGGTCTTAAAGGATCTTTAATTGTATTTAATCATCAAGGTAATTAATGATCCTTGAGCAAAATGGAGATTGCATCTAGAGTAGTTCCAGTTTTGCCCTTCAGCGTCTGTTGTGTCTGGGCAGAGACAACCTGCAGAAACGTGGAGGGGGGGGGGAAGCGGAGCGAAAGACAAAAGGAAAGCAGAGAGGGGAGAGGGAAGGAAAGAGAAAGGACTGAAAGGAAAGGTTAACAGCAGAGAAGGAGCTGAATGGAAAAGAGGGAAGAGGAGAAACAGAAACAGTCCTATTCCTTCTCATCACCTTTTGTGAGCACTGCCTTGTCTCATGGCAGGTTCACGTGGTGCAGGGGGAGCAGGTCCCTCCGCCATCTGTTCAAGGAGCACCACGATGTTACTCTGCCTTTCTTGACCCTTTACTTTTTGGCAGGTATAGTGCAGTAGAAAAGGCACAGCTTTTTCTTCCCACCCCACGCTACGTCATGGCCCAGCTCTAAGTGCAAAGAGCTGCTCCTTCCTCCCCTTTCTCCTCTCACTGCTTAGCTCTCACCCAGCCTCTTCCAAGAGTGCCCTTGGATGGCCTCAGCAGTGCAGTTTTGTTTATCCAGCTGTGGATGGAAGAGCTTGAAGGCTGCAGAGAGCTCTGAGTGGGTACGACAACGGGGCAAGCGGGAGGCTGGCGTCCCCGCCTGGAGACTAGACCCAGGAAGGGCACGGATCCGGCTGCGTGTGACGTAGCGGGTGGACTTGGCCCTAGGAGCTCAGAGGGTGCCTCAACAGCTGCTCAGTGCTCAGGCTCCAGCAAGTTGTTCTGGTAGGACAGAATCACCTGTTTCAGCCCTTCCCCATTTTCACTCTCTGTTTCCCTCTGGCATCATTTCGCGCCCCTTTTTGCAGGAAGATGTTTCCAAAGTTCAAAACCCAGAAGGGTAACCGGGGAGCGCGGGAGCAAGGGGAGCGACGGGCAGCAAGTTGCAACATGTCCCTGCTCTCCCAGGCCTCAACCCTGCAACTCTCCTCCCAGCTGAGGCCTGCAGCCAATGTCTCCGTCTCTCTCCCCGGAGCACAGACAAAGCCTGTCCAACCTGTAACTGGGCTGCCTGCTCCAACTTGCCCCAGAAACGCAGCTTCAGTTGGAAATGTCAGCAGGAAAGCAGAAGGGCCAGGGAGTCAGTCCCCATGGCTTGGGACCTACCAGACAAGGGCCATAACAAACAGAGTTGTGCAAAGGAGGGAGAGGTGCACATGTCGGCAGGAGGGGTCTGCACTGGCTTGTCGAGGAATGTACTCTGGCTCCCAGCCCTAATGACAGGGGATGGTTTAGTGCAGAAAAGCCATTGCACTTGTCCCCTCCAGCCTCAGCAAGGGTGGCCAGGCTAAACGCACAGCTGCTCTGGTGCAGGAACTGAGGAAAGCTGCAAAGGTTGAATGTGAACCAGAGGGACCAGGGGAGATTGGGGTGGGATGATATTCAGAACTGCGCAAGT